ATTTACACCAAACTCTAACCACTACATGGCCCATAAAATCTCATTTTTAATCTGTTTTGGAAATATACCCACAGCCTAACAGACAAACGGTCATTAAACCAGAGCACACAATAACAGGGTGGGTGGGAGGGGCAGATAAGTGCCCGAACGCCGATAAACTGCAGACAATGTGGACGGCCTTGACAACCACCAACAAAAGCACCAGAGACTCAAGATCATACCCATCGTTAAAAATACTATAGGTTTATACACAAGTCAGAAAACATCAAAGAATTACAAATACAGTAAAGAGAACATAGGACGGACATACAGGTTCCCTTTACTCTGCATTCGTGTGTCCAGCCACACCCATCTTCAAACTCAAACCTTTATCTGGCTTTGAATTATTGTACACACCTGAGACCAGAGGCATTTCACACAAGAACCCTGGACAACATCTGGAAAAACAGGTCTGTGCTTTTGTAGGAGGCTAACTTGAGTTATATTGCACAGTTACACACTACTAGACACTATTGCACTGACAAAAATCTGTCTCCAGACATGCAAACAAAACAAGAAAAAACCCCACAAAGTAATGCTATTGTGGTTACTGGGTGGAGATTTTGCATCACTGAGCTTGTGGTTAGATGGCAACAATCTATATGTCATAAATTACACACAATCAATCTTCCACAGTGCCGTTACTTCACTGGATGGTTATAAAGATCATTTTGCTTAATTCAAGTATCAAAATATAATGATTTTACTAGTAAACTCACTTCATACTTAAAATGACAACTTCGTGCATGATGATATTGCTTGTGGCGATCCTTCATTGTGACAAGATTAGTATTCCTAATAAAGATTTTCTAAAGGATCTGTCACTTAATCCTAATGGCATTTTCAAAAGACAACTCCTCAGGGGCAAAATGCAAGCCAATAAAATACACGAATTACAACATGTGAGAGTCTGTTGACAGAGTGCACGTGGATCTCCAGGAAATTCGCGGTTCACTTGTGTTTGTGTGCTTTCTAAATTTTGCCTGATGTCCAGTGTGCACTAAGCCAATTACACAAGAGCCACAAGCAAGGCCATTTTACCATCACCTTTTCATTAAATTATAGAGGAACGAGTAATAGAAGTATGGCCTTTAACCATGTTCCATAAACTTATATGAGAGGTTTTAATTTACCAGTGAGTGTTCGGACTTATGTCTGTAGTAGTTAATTATCACAGAAGCAACTAGTTTCGTCTATAGGACGGCTGGGCTATGTAAAATAAGTGAGTGCAGTCCTTGTCTCCTGAGATACCAGGATCTCCAGATATCCAGAAGGAGCTCAGAGGAGAGCCACCTTTCCTTTGTGTCAAAGGCAGCCTGCTGAGGTGGCTGGAGCATCTAATCAGAATGTCTTATGGGCACCTTCCACTGTGGAGATTTTCCAGGCACACAGCTGACAGGAGACCTCGGTGTAGATCTAGAACTCACTAGAGACATTATTAATCTCATCCGACCTGCGAGTACCTCAGAAACCTCCCGCGGGAAACTGGAAAATGCTACTAGGGAAACAAATGTCTGCTTAACCTGCTGCCATCGCAACGTGGATAAGCGGAAGAAAATGTTGGGATGAGGATGAATATCATGTATAAATAAAAGTTAATGTTTCCTTTTATGTCTGCTGTTGCCATTTCCAGTATGTCATTAAAATTTGATCTCATCTAATAAGGTCACTTCATAGTCCATCTGAAATGTCACGTCATGTTGACAGAAAAGGCTAGTGGGAATAACACACACACTCATTTCCTGTGTGTGTGTGAGTGTGTAACAGACACTGGTATCTATTCAAAACAGTCTTGACTATGACTTAATAGCCAAACTCTAAAATCAAAATGTAAATTCAGTGGTTTTGATTACGTGGAGCAAAACCCTGTGAAAAATCTGTGTGTGCGCTTCGAAGCTGCAGGATGCCATCGCTGTGGTAACTGATGCCGAGCTGCAGTGAGAGGAACTCGAGTTGCAGGCAGGGAGCCGGGTCACAGGAGAAGCAGGGGGTGCACAGGAAATTAAGCCTGCACATACTATAACCACGTTAAAGCCGTCCACCACAGCCTGAACATAGGCTCCTCAGTCACAGCGTGAAGGCTGACATGGTAAAGGTAATATTCTGAGGTATGTTCAGACTGTGCAGTGTTTTTGCAGTATTTGCAAGAATGTCGACATAGCAAATATTAAATCATCCCTTACTGTTAAAAACTGTTTTAAAGAACGTTTGAGGGTTTTTTTTTTAATAACTGTCCAGCTTTCATACCAATAGTCATATAAAAACAAACAGATATCACGATTCAATATGTGTTAGCGGAAATAGATAACATCAACTCGCATAACAGCAGCTCTCAGACCACAGATCATCATCTCCTGTAAATAACATTACTTGTGCTGCCTGTCTTGAATTAGCTGAAACCATAACAGAACAGCTAGGTATGCATTTCAGCTGTTTCCGCGAATCCCACTGTGAACCCCCACTCCAACCGACCCAAAGTACAGATACAGAAATGATATGGTTCTTCGTGACTACAGACAAATTTCACTAGGTTTTATGGAACAAATCGCTCACCACATCAAGGTGGACCGCAGCCCTGAAAGTTTCTCTGCATTTCCCAGAAAAGCAGATCTGAGAACCGAATGTTCAGCTTAGTCAGAGCAGACATTATACGGCCAGCTTCTGATATAAGAACAAAGAGGATGATGGGCATCAAGTGCCCTGCCACCTAGATGCTCTTTCTAGGAGACATTCTAGCATAAACCAAACAGTAGTGAGAATGCACCTGAAGGTTTTGTGTTACGTGTGGGGAAAGAGCAGCTTCAAAGAATGTCTAACCCTGATTTTCTCTACACTGGCTGAAGTTTGTGTGAAAAAAGCCTCTTTCCCAACAACCTACATGCAAATCCTGGCCCCTCCACATTGCATGACTAGGATGTCATCAAGGAGAAATGCAGTGACTAGCACTGAGTCTTACTCACAGCAGGCTAATCTACATAAAAGGCATAACATTTGAAAGTACTTGGTTTAACTTTCTGCTGAGAGTCTTTCAAATTATGTCCTTAATTAAATTACACTGACTATAACGTTTGCTTGGCAGAGCAATACTTATTTGACTTGACATTTTAATGTGGTTAAAAGAAAAAAAAAAACAATACTCCAGTTAATTTATAAGTGTTTCTAATTGTGTTAAAAAGATGATTAACCTTAAGGTCAGACTGCTGTGTTTCTTTTGTTCCAGCATTCACTTCTGCACAGGTTTAGTCAAGTTCCCCCAAAAATCCGCAACAGTTATTTCAGGGCACTTTTTAGGATTAGGTGAAAATCATAGAAGGTTATAGACGGAAGCCCCAGCAATCCGTCCACCTCACATGAGCAAGCACTTAGCAAGAGCAGGGAGAAAAAATGAAACCTAACAGGAAGGTGGCCATCTGCCGAAACTAGCGGGGGCGAGAGAAAAAGATGCACAAATTTATTGCCCTTGCTAAATCTCATCAGCTTTTCAGCATATAAGACGACTTGTACAGATGTCATAAACAGATGTTTATCTGTTGTGTTATATCAGTTCTGCTCTGGCTCAAATTTTTAATCACAAGATGGCGTGATAAAGAGAAGAGATCAAAGTCTTTGAAATCTATTTTAATGTATGGTTATTTTTTTCTGTCACAATAGAGGGAGAAATAAAGAAGAGCAAAAATAATAAGTACCGGTACTGGAATCAACTATGACTCATAGCAGCAACGAGAGGCCCGAACATTTTCTCCACTGTAACCTTCAAACTGAAGACTTTAAACACACAAACTTCTCATATTGTCAAAATTACTTAAAGAAAATCTCTCCGCCAAGATTTCAACACTGTAAGCACCTAGATTTACAGTGTGTGTGTGTTTGTATGCACTGCAGTTTATTACCATAGCCTCCCACCTTGCCAGCCGAGCTCACTTCGATGAGCTGCAGATACATCTTGGCCAAATATCACACAGCACTATGCACCACTACAGCAACTCAGCAACTCAATTTCCAACACTTGATTAGAGCTAAATGAATTGTTACAGTGAAAGAGACAACATGCCGACAAAGTCCAATGACAGGATATTAATGATACTACAAGATTTAGACACAGTAAGCCAGTGTGTATGTGTGTGTGTCTGTGTCTTTGACCTTCAGATGAGAAGCCTGAGGAAGGAAAAATATACTGCAGCGGGAGATAGCGTCAGTGTTTGTAAATCGTCCTGAGAGCGAGTGTGAACACGTGAGCCTGTGTGTGTGTGAGGCAAAAGAGAGAAGTAAAACTGAGAAGTGTTATGGTATCTCAAAACACAAACCTGCCTAGCTTTCACCAGAGAACTTTGTCTGTCAAGTGATCAAGAGAACTACAACTACTTTGAGAAATAAACCTACTTATGGAACCTCACAACAACCTTCTGTTAGACAGATATAGCAAATGATTAAGACGACACTTTGATTAACTTGAACGAATACGTTTTTCAAGAAAAAGGGCATCTACCACTGAGAGACCATCTCTAGACAAAATACTTGACCCACATGCAGGAGTTGTGGTGCAGGTAGGATACATCTCAGGAATTAAACTTTCATTTACTCTTAAATTAAGCGATTTGATAAAGGGAAAGGTTTAAATAACCAGTGTCACACTTCTACTGAAAAGAGTTGAAAAAATGACCAGTCATACTTTTGAGAGCAAACTTAACCCCTGACTCTGTGGGTACAGATTCCCCTGACTTTGACTTGAAGATGCCAAAACACCAGCTTGACTACTGCATTTTTCAGCATGTGGCTTTCAGAGGTCTTATAAGCGAAAACATTGCTGGAGCTCTGATTACTTCATCGTCTCCTCCATGCACCTAAGAAGTGGATGAAGCTGTACCAGAAACATTTGCTGGCACCGCACACTGCTGAACCAAATCACAGGTTTCACTCCTGCGTTATCACACCATATCACCAGCACCAAGATTTCCACAAACCTTTTTTGAACTCCTCCAGCATGGCGTCCAGCTTGGTGTCGTGGAAGACGAAGTGGACCGGATGGTTGTAGAATTTGGTGATGGTCTTCAAGGTGGTGCAGTCGTCTGGGTCCACGAAGGCCAGATCCTTGACGAAGAGGATGTCCACGATGTTGGAGCGCTCGTCTTCGTACACGGGTATCCTGGTGTAGCCGCTCTCCATGATCTCGGACATGGTGTTGAAGTCCAACACGGCGTCGCTGTGGATCATGAAGCAGTTGTTGATTGGCGTCATGACATCCTCCACTGTTTTAGTCCGGAGCTCCAGCGCTCCTTGGATCATGTTCAGCTCCTCTTTCACCAGGTCATTGTAGGGCTCGGTGACTTTTAACATCTCCACTAGCTTCTCTCTGTTGTACACGGTGCCGATCTCCTGGCCCAGCACGCAGTCGAGGAGTTTGCTAATGGGCCAGGACAGAGGGAAAGTCAACAGCATGAACAGCTTGGTGAGGACGATGGTGTTCGCCCCGACTGCTAATCCGTGTCGGGAGCACAGAGCCTGGGGGACAATCTCGCCAAATATTACGATGCCGACAGTGGAGGCGACGACTGCTCCGACCCCGGACTTGGTGAGGTCGTCCAGGAGGATGGTGAGCGTAGTGTTGACCAGGACATTACCGAGCAGCAGTGAGCACAACAGGTAGTTGCCCTTCCTACGAATGGGCTCGATCTTCCGCGCGTATTTCTTCTCCTTCTCTGTGCCGCAGTTCTGCACGATGCGCAATTCCATCGGATCCAGCGCCATCAGTCCCAGGTTGAGCCCGCTGAACATACCGGACAGCACCAGCAGGAAGCAGATGAGGATAATCTGCAGCCAGATGGGCAGGAGGGACTTCTTCGCTTCCACCACGCGCAGCCTGCCGTCTTCTTCGTCCATCAGGTACCACTTCTGATCCCGGGCGTCCAGGACGCACAAGCCGAACACTTTCACCATCTCATTCTTACGGAGCTGCTTGATGCTGAGGGAGACTGTCCCTGAGGTGTTTTCGTCGTTTACCTTCATGGGTCCCCTAATATCAATATCATTCTGATCTTTGGGACAAGTCCTGTTTAACCATTTATCTGAGAAATCATCATCTTCTTTATTACTGACGAACAGTTTACCGAACCCGATGATATCCGAGCTGTTGGGGAACAAGTGGAGCCCGTAGACCCTTAAGGAGATGTCGCTCCCCTCGGTCACCTGAATATCTCCCCTTTCGGTGGTCTCGGCTGGCTTGTCGCTCTTCTCTAGCCTCATGCCGAGTATCCGCGTGGTTTCCCTCGAGCCTGAAACCGAAGCTTCAACCAGCCTCGTCGCAAAAACGTATGAAAACACGAATAAAGTTAACGTAAACCCCCAGCCACTTGAATCCATCGCCATGTTTGTTTCGCTCTCTGCCAACAGGCGAACTGACGTCACCTACTCGTTTCCACAAGCCCGCCTCCAAATTTACATATAAATATCACCCAATCGGAAGCGTTTACGTCACTAAAACTTGGGCCGAGCCCCAACAGTTTCATTTTTTTAAGGTCGACTGACAAAATTTCTTTTAAAGGTGGACCGTGTGGGAGCAGACGAAAATTAACGCATGAATGATAAACATTCACGATAAACAAATTTTAAATACACAAGTCATCCAATAATCACATTTTATGATATTTTCCCACAACGATTACATATATATATATGTAATTAACGTGGTCTTTAACTTCATTTTTATTGAAGAAAATACCAGTTAAGTTGTATATTTAGCTACTCTATGGCACAGAAAAACCCAAACTGAGTCATAAAAGTATCAACTGTCTTAATTGTGTTTACCCGTATGACACGTCGAATTAAAATACAAATGCTGAAGCAGTATCAAAATAAGTCGAATACAGAGAAATGTGTTTAAAGTCAATGATTTAGTCTACAGAACCTTTGTAATCGCAGTATGCACAATGTGACAGTTAATGAAATCAGTTTAACGAGATTAGAAGGGGTAAGTAGTGTCACTGATTTGAAATACAATGCATGTTAATGTTATCTACTGTCTCTAGTAATGCTATTAACACTCCTCTGTGTACTGTGAGCTGTGCAAACTGAATATTTGAGGCAAGAAGAAAAACCTTGGGTCACAAGTGAATAGAATGCCAAACTAGACACACTCACCGGTGGATAAGATACAACACCAAAGACAATGAAAGGATTAATCTCTGAAACACACATGCCTCTTAGCATTTTGAGAAAATAAATAAAACGTTTTAAAATTTAGTTTTTACACGTTTTTTTTAACGAAAGGATGCTGGTAAATAGAACCACGTGTGTAAATGTATTACTTTAATCTTGAATTACTTTTTTGTTGACATTGTATGTAAATGCAATTATTGAGGGCAGAGCACCATCTAGTGGTCAAACCGTGGTGAATGCAGCCTAACGTGCTGGTGTGAAAATATTGAAGGAAATGAGAATGATTCTAATCGAATGATTCTAAGTAAAAATGAGGCTCAGAATTGTGTATATACATAATAAAGGCCTTCAGGCATGCAGCTACACCCATACAGAATCTAATTCAGTTCACTGGATGGATTTGTAAAATGTGAAAACTGCAGTGAAAGGATTCAATTCTCTGCATTTACTTGTAATTAGTGACAGAAAACTTTTTTTGTTTTCTCCGCTGAGATCAGGCTGGAAAATGTTTCTGGCCCATCTGAACCTGTTTTCAGGCTCTTTGCACTCCTTCTTTTCCCACCTTTAGGTCTTCTAGTTCTTGAACATCTTTTAAAACTGTTGCCTTCCTCCATCCTTCTGACAGTAACTTGTAGCCTTTTTTTCAACATTTAATCAGATGTTGTTTGGATTAGTTTGTTTTCAGAGGATTGTATACTGATGCCTGTACACTATCACTCCATTTTATTTCCTCATGTTAACCTTAAACAAGTCTTGTTTTAGCAAAGATATGCATGATTTCCTGCATCTCACTGTAAGCTAAACTTGTCTTCAACAGAGAATCACATATTGCTCATTCATCCATGGAAATATTGCAAAGACACCTCTTTGGCTTTGTTACATTGAATATATTTGAGAAACAAAAAAAAAACACAAACCAAACAAACCAAAATGTTCATTTCATTGTATGGTATTTATGTTTGCATGTAGAATTTAGAGGTGTTTAGTATATTCTAAATACATTTTCTTTTATTTGTTTTTTTGTTTAATTTGTGTGTACTTTTTTCTTATTTCTGTTTTATTTTGGATCATACTCTAAACATAAAAAACAAAAGTTCTCCAGACTTTAGAGGACGCGATGAAGAAATAAAGTGTTTTGTCACCAATCCTTTTATAATCTTCTCCACTGTACGATGTGTAATGGTAACACAAATCTCTCTTTAGAGAAAAACCTGGAAGTACATGAAGAGCCACATTATTCATTTGATTAATTTAAACTTCCTTCAAATTTTTATTTAACTTACCTAGCCCTCCTCACAGGGTTGTGAAGAAGCTCGCACATGTTTCTGTTTCTATAATTCGAGGAACTGAACAACATAAACCTTTATTATTTATTCTTTCATTGTGTCAAGCTGAAAAATGTAGCCATTGTAAGGTCCATCATTTGCTTTCCTGATAGTACTGATAGTATTAAAATTCTGACCATACACTGAAAAAAAGAACATGTTTACTTAATTCACTAGTGGACATTGGTTGCACAAATGATTTTCTTTGGCAGCAACTTAAACAACTGAGGTAAATTAACACTTAACTTTAAAACACAAGACAACTTGCAAGAAATAGCCAGTCTCCTTTTTCAGTGTAATTCTCTGCATTCATAACTCAAGCTTTCAATTTGTCACTCCACAATATGAGTCGCCACTGATTTTCAGTTGAGTTCCTGTATAATTTGGTGTACCCGGTCTTTTTTCCCCATTTCCCTTCCTTAGAAATAGCTTCTTCACAGCCACACTTCCACTGAGACCCCTTCTGATGATGCTACAGTGAACTGTACATGGATCAACTGAAGGCCTGATGCATCTCTCAGGTTCTGTAACTTGTCCTTGTTGGATTTTCTCCCTATTTCTCAAGGACCTGACTTTCAGATACTATTCATCAGCTACTTTTAGCCCTGCCACTTCTTTAATATGCCCCTCACTTGTTTCATTAAATATTTTTCAAGGACACACAATGTTCTGTGAATAGCTATTTGGGAATCACCTTGTTGGTGTAAAAATACTAATGTATTCCTGTCAAACTATCTTTGGCATTTTGATCAGATTCAACTAAAGAAATGGGAACACATTTTGTCTTTTGTGGCAAGCTGCTAGTAAAAAGTACCTAAAGAGACATTTAACCACTCAAATGTGTCCATATGATTTATTTGAATGACGTGTTCACTCCTGGAAAAGAGTAAGAAGACAAAGAAGAATTAGAGGAAGACTATGACCAAAGTGGTTAAGAACTTCCCGGCTGCAGTCACTGACTGCTGATGCATTTTTATGTTTTTAATAATAATTTATGTGTGTAAAGTAAAGGCGAGCCACCTGAAAAAGATGATTACTGAAAACAAATGAAGAATAAAACATATGAAACTTTGAACATAAAGATGCTTTTTAAAAATATGTTTTTAGCGACACCTTGTGGCCATGCACAATGCTGTTTTCAGCATTGTGCAAGGCGGTCTATGACGAGAAGTGACGTGAAAGCCTGAATTCCATAAAAAAGCCAAAATGTGAGAAGGTTGTTGCAGTAGAGATCTCAGTTCACAGAAGCACACACGAACACAACAGTGTTAATACGTTGTTAGATTACAATATATGGCAACATTTAATTTCTTTGTTTTATACATTCTTATAAAATGTTGTCCTCAACCTTTCCTACTGGTACATATACTCTATGCAGTCATCACTGTGGCACGTTTCACCTTTATAATAATCAATTACTGATGAAAATCATTTAGTTGCAGCTGCTGAACATTGCAACCTTTCTCTGAGTTTTCTGGAGTTGCGTTAGACTTTAGGCTTTAAGCAGTAGTGGTTTCCTCCTTTGGTATTCAGGAAACTGAAACCTCAGACAGGGAGCTGTGAGAAATGCTGCAGAAACTTTCAACCAAACAAAACTGCGATGAAAAAGAAAAGAACATGTCAGTGGTGTAAAAAAAAAGGAAACAAAGCCGTAAATGCCAGTTTCAGGAAATGAAGGTGTAAGAAAGAAGAGACTTTGAGAAACTGTCAAGACATCCTGAAGATTTCAATAATGTACTAAACAGATTTGTGCAGCAGCTAAAGAAAGTGAAAGACAATTTAACTACTCGGATAGCGTTTGCCATTTTTGCACTACATTTAGCACCAGTTTAACAAATAGGAGTTTTCTAATAGAAAACCTGGTCAGCTTTTACTTTGTACAGCACCACAATGAAACATTCTTTACCACAGCTGCAGCAGAATAAAAGTAAAAGAACTGTTAAAGCTGGCAAATCTGGAATAAAAGCTGTATTTTAACAGTTAAATGTGTCACTGTTTTACTACAGGAGCTACACGTCAGATAAGTTTAGCAACCTGTGAGACCTGTGTGTTTTGCCTTTCCTTAAAAAGACAAACATTTAAAATGCATCTGACATGTTGTTCCTTATTGCCTATGTGGGTGCTTTTATCAAATATGATAAAATAAAGATGTTTTTGTTTCTGCTCTAAAAGTTCAGTTTCACGTTTTCCTACTCTTCACTTTGTATCACAGTAAATAAACCGAAGGAGATATTTGAATCTTCATCTCAGGCCGTGAAGCTCCACCCACCTGCTGTTCAAACCTTGTGTTTGCAAGTTGCAGCAAGTCAGAGTGTTGGCTTAAACGGAAAGCAGTCTGGAGCAGCCAGGTAATAAATAAGGATTATTTTGAACTTTGAATCAGGCAAAGATACTCTACACATCAAGAATAAAAACAGGTCTGGAAATGAGCGTCACAGGTGTGCAGATTAAAGAGGCTGGTCCTCCCACCACTTCCTTCTTGAACTTTAACTGAACTCTCCTTCAGTTAAAGTTATTCAAACCCCTTTAGCATTTGAAAGGTGTCAGCTGAGGTTTGGGGAGATTATTATTAGCATTTATTTTTTACATAGTATATCTCAATAAAGATTAAAATGAGAGCACTCATCCTTAAGAATCAGTTGCGACCACTTAAACAAGCTACTATGTGCATGCAGCCAGTGACTGTGATTCTTATAAAACAGCATTAAAGAGACGTGTTATTTCTTTCTTTCTTTTTTTGACTTATAAACACTGATATAAAATAACATTTTTGGATATATATTTGTTTTTTCTTTGAAAGATGAATTTCATTTGAGTTTTGGTTCTTACAGTCCAGCAGGCAGGCCTGTGTTGGGAGGGTGTACCCGATCTCTTCCTGAACACAGCTGCCACCCGTTTCTCTGGAGGAGCTCGATCAGGAGTGCACAGCTGGCTTCATTCAGCCACCCAGCAGAATAAAAGCTGGTGAACAGCTGCTCAGTCAGTGAGTCGGTCACCTTGTAGCGTTGGCTTACAGGGTATGTCTGAAACTAGTGACTAGCTAGTCAACCATGACCTGGATGACTACACAAGCATAGTGAATAGCTAGTCTCTTCTTGCAGCAGGACTGTTTCCCTTTTACTTGGAGAATCATTTCCTTTTTTTAGCAGGATATTTTAGGTTGTGGGTCTCTTGTTTGGGTGAAATAGCGGTGTGTTTCTTTGAGTAGTTGAGTCATTGTCAATAAAACTTTATTGTTTTACACTTTACTGTGTTTTGGCTTTTTTTTTTCCTGGTTCCTGGTCCCTTAGCCTTTATTCGGGGGTGTGACGCCGTTTTGCTGCCTATAGATTCATATAGAAAACCATTAAATTGCCTTTGCCTCTAGAAGAAGTGGGTTTTTAGGAAACCGGTATCCTGTTTTCTTTTTAAAAGTTTTGTTTCAGGCTCGCCAACTAGAGGTCACAATTGGGCCACAACGATTGACTAAATTTTCACACAACGTGACCAGTCTGCTGCTTTGCCTCTTCTCCGTTCAGAACTTTCTGTCATAGTAAATTTCCGTGTTTTGGTGAGTTGAATCTGAGCGAATAAACAGTGCGCCCTCGCAGAGGAGTGTATGGAGACGGAAGTAGAGGAGGGGAGAGCGTACGAGAAGGAGGGGAATGAGGCAGGAGCGAGTTGGTGGACAGGAGGAAAACATTAGCTCTCAATCCTTCACGTAGTTGGGATACTTTTCACTGTCGAAGAGGCAGGGAAGCCACAGCTCAGACTGCACCTCCACCAAGCCAGGACGCACGGTAAGTACCGCGTCGCTGCTCAAGTATTGCTGACCTTGTCTGGGAGTCAAGGAGACGCTGGAGGGTGGGGGAGTGTCGAGATGAAGTTGGGGGAAGAGATGGAGAAGAAAGGCGAGATAGCTGAACGGGAAGCTGCAGTGAACAGACGAGAGCTGTCTCTCCACTGCTTTTCCTGCCTTTGCGCTCTCCAGGGAAAAGCAACCCAAAAAAGTAACGGAAAGATTTTGGTGGGAGAGAAAAGTTTGGCATTCTTGGGTGTCGAAAGGGAAAATATCGGCTTCGCTTTGTTTTCCCCTCTTCACTGCAGTAGCAGTCATCGTGAAAGCTTCCACAACAATGGGTTACTTCTGTGTTGTGTCGGTTTAGCAAAAAGCTGTTTCCGAAAATTGTTTCAGGAGGCAACTTTCTATCAGCGCGCTCCTCGTAAGAGTGTGTTTGTTGTTTTGTAGACGGTGTCTGAGCACGCACCACTGCTCAGCTGTCAGATCCCGAGTTTAGTCCTCTTTGGTTTCAGAAAGAAACCACCTGGTATAATAAGAATTGTTTCTTGTTCTTGGGAACTGTAGTGACACTGATCATTTGAGAAGATATGGCTGTACATTGTGTGTCAGCACATTTTGCGGTTTTAGCACTGATGTCAGTGATGAGTAATTTCTTCATCATCTAGAGCGGAAGACTGCGAGGAAGTCATCCTGTGTTTACGGTGCAGAAGCATTACTTTTCTATTCCCAGCCAAACACTGAGGTGTTTAAAGTGTTAATTGTGACTTTGAGGAGGTGTATGTTCAAAACACAGAGGCGTAGCAAAAAAGTAACTGGACGTTAAGCCCTATAAATTACCACCTGAATCTCCCAAATTCACCCAGAAACATCTCAACAACTGCAAGGCTAAATTAACAACATTTGGCTCAATGGATGGAGTTCCCATTTAAAAAACAAACAACTAAAAAGGAGTTTTTACAGCAGGCACATTAACATTTTGTTTACATTGTACCAGGACTGTTGTGTTGGTTTAGAAATAGACTGTTGGATTGTCTGGATTTCAGCCATCCTGTCTCAGTTTTTGAATGAAGATAAACTAAAGTGTGGTTTTGATTGATAGTGCATACAAGATAAAAACGAAAGCATTTAAACACTTTTCAACACTGAACAGTAAGCCTGCCTGATGTTTTAGGGTGTAACCACTTACATGGAAAGGAAACTTAAAAAAAAAAAACTAAAAAAAAGCTTTGATCAGCACTCAGCATGAGCTCGCTGCCTCTTTCTGAACTTGTTTGTATAAAACAGGCTGATTTCTCAGTTCAGCGGTCGGTGTCGCCTTCATTTTGATTTCAAACCATAAATGGTGTAAAAGATGGATGTAGTTAGTGCGATGTTATCCACTGGTTTTTGACATCTTTGAAGGCTGCCATACCCAAAAAATATGACAAGGAAGGATGGGCCTGACTGTCAAATTGCACGCTCATTGGCTAACGAATTGTGATTGACAAGCTGTTATCCAATGAGCTGGTTTCATAGTATACCACAGCTAACACAGTAGTACAAAGATTTAAAAGATGGACATATTATTATGGGGTGTCTGGACCCCATACTCCCTATACAACCATTGCAAGAGCTTGGTCTGCATAGCTGGCAATAAGTTGGACGTGTTCCCGGTGGGTAATGGGCTCCGCCAGGACTGCCCTTTGTCACTGATTCTGTTCATAATTTTATGGACAGAATTTCTGAGAAGTTTCTCCATCCGGGAGGGGCTCAGAGTAGAGCCGCTGCTCCTCCACATCGAAAGGAGCCAGTGGAGGTGGTTCGGGCATCTGACAAGGATGCCTTCCGGCGCCTCCTAGGTGAGGTGTTCCGGGCATCTCCTACTGAGAGGAGGCCCCGGGGCAGATTCAGGACACGCCGGAGAGATTATATCACTCTGCTGGCCTGGGAACGCCTTGGTGTTCCCCTGGACAAGCTGGAGGAAGTGGCTGGGGAGAGGGATGTCTGGGCTTCTCTGCTCGAGCCGGCCCCAGATAAGCGGAAGAAGATGGATGGATGGATATTATTATTGTTTTATACATTGTGGCCAAAAATGAGTGACAGAGCCCATAAACTTAACAGGAAAGTATTTATGGATTTCAAGACAGAAAGACGTTTTCTCATAGACTTTTTATTGGGCTGGAAGTGTTTTTGCAACAACAGCTATCGCCAGCTGCTGGCCTTCAGATAAAGAAACAGGTTTAAGGTCTTCTGCATTGGCCTCAGTTATCTGACCCAATGTTCTGAACTAAGCATTTTAGTCAAAGTCATCTTGGTGTTTTGAAAAGAGAGATGACAATCAGTCACAAGATGATCCCACTTTTAAAGCATATCGGGCTTTATTGTTTATTTTGCTCTCCATGAAACCACTAATCACAAACCAAACATCAGTTTGTATCAAATAAGACTTCATTGGGAAAGGATTTGTTAAGGTCATACACGTGGTGAGACTTAAGGTTAATTTCACATCTACTTCTGTATAATCAGGCCTATTTTGTAACCCCCGGGTTCTTCCTCCGACTGGCCACTTAAAAATTGTCAAAGATTCTAAATGTTTACTCTTTTCATACCGGTTGCCCAATCCATCTGTAGTTGCAGTTATATTGCAATTTACTTATGTAACCAAGTTAAGTGCGTTTAGTTTATGACCTAACTCTAGTCTTCTGTTGTGTAGGAAAAGAGCCATTTAGCCATTCGCAGTTTGAATGAGTGAATGGGCTCAGGCTTTATTCAGTGTCTCTCTTCACTTACACAGATGTCACGAGACTACAACAATGCTTTGTTTGCTCCATCTTTTTATTAGAGATGAAAAATAATCCAGAGGGCCACAGTGATCCCATTAATTCTGGTGCTAATAACAATTTTGACTCAAATGTGAAACAGGAAAGATGGCATGACTACGTGACTCTGTAGTTTAGCTAAATGCTGATGATAAAGAGATGTAATGTTGTTTGTCTATGTTTTCAAATACACGGCGCTGACACGCTAATATTTGCAACTGTCTTGTGGCATGCTCGACTTAAGATGACTCCCCTGCTGGTCCACTGTTCATGTGAACTGTTTTTACATATAAAACATATTGAAAAAACTATAAAAAAAACATTTAAAAACGGAAACTGCAGAAGTTATAGTTTCATACTGTTTTGTGTGTTTTATCCTTTGATACCCTACTTAGCAAAGTAGGCTTAATCATTCACTGCTGTGTGTAAACAAGGTTAAGTATTAGTCGATGCTTTCCTGTTGGTATCAATACATTTTTCTCATTATAATGAAGTGGAAAATAAACTCTCCATCTCTCTTTCTTTTCGTACTCCTGTGTGCGTGCACAAAATCAGGTCTGCTGTGCTCTCTGTTCCCCCCCAAAAATGAGCAATTAGTGTTAATGTTGCATCCAAAGTAAAATTGCATCACATCCCCGCCATTACCACCTCACAGTCGCCCGATTTAACAACTTTTATGAGAACATGTGAATATCAACAAAGACGATCTGAAGCTTTGGTGAGTTTTGTTAATATATGACATATGAAAGTGTTGGATAAAGTCTATATTTGACACAGTGACGAGAAAATGTTGTTGAAACATTTCACGAATTGTTTAGAAGTTGCTGAAAAAACTTCTGTCTGAGCCAAAGAAGTGTGTCTATAAACAGTATGATGATGGTAGCAATCGGTGTCAAAACATAGTTAGTCAAGCTGGTCATGAACAGAAGTGTGATTTTTATTTTATTTTATTTTTTTAAACCTTTACAAACTGAGTCTGTGTGAAGAGAAAACTGAAGCTGTTTGGTTAATCAGAAAATGCTACGAGATGTGAAACTTGTGATTGAACGTCAGCTGCCCCGACTAAACTTTGACTGAGGTCACGTGAGGTCTCAGTAATGTCCAGCCTTACACAAATGCATTTATCACGCATGAAAATCCATTTTGTCACATGTTGAAGGTCTTTAATGTTAAAACATCTGAGTCTTTATGCTACAATGAGAATCTTATCAGGTTTAAAAGGTCAGTCATAATGTCAGTGTTTTATCATGTAAGAGGAGATGGGGAGTGGCTCGGTGGCCTGAGAGGTCAGGTGAATAATTCAGAGGCTAATTGTTTGGGTCTTTTGGTGCAGCTCTCGGGGCTCAAAGCACAGATACTGTATTGTGTCCTTATGTCATAACACTTTCCCATTCTTGCTTTGTTAATGTCTGTCACCAGTGGGTCTTTTTCAGGTCACTGCATACGCTTGCATTGTAAATGCACCTCTATCCAAATAACAAGCAAGAAATCTGTTCAGTTTTTTAAGGCTTTTAAAGGCATCGTTGTCTCAAGATGGAGGGATGTTGTTTAAAGGTTTTTTGTATTTTTAAAAAGAAAAAATGTAAGTCAGAGAGATGTGATCGTTTTCAGTCATGAGAATGTGATCACAGATTCATGCAGAGCTACTGAGCAGAGTGATGTTAATCATTAACTGACAGGAACCTTGAACAAACCAACATATAACCCAGTTTGTTATTTGTTTATTCAACCTATTTCCCGGTCATACTGAATTTTCTTTCTTTCTTTTTTTTTTTGGTCCGTTGACCACATCGTGACTGACGTTAGGAGGAACAAAGAAATCAGATAAGTGGGAAATTAACAAACAATAGCCAGGAACCGACTCAGGCTGCACTGTACAATTAATTACAAAAACAAAAAAAAAAGTTAGGGTTTTTTTTTTGTGTAGCAACACTAACAAAGTTCTATATCCCATATTGAATTGACTTGTAAATAAAACTGTTAAGGTGCTATTGTCTAGTATTCGCTATGTTTAAAGGTGACGTTATTGTTATTATTTTCTCAGAATTTGCAGACACCAATATTTTCAGATAAGGTGTTTGTGGTTTGGTTGCAGGGAAACAGTGCAATAGCCACCACCCAAGAAGTTGGTCTTGGTTCAGCATCTTCTGGTTCCTTTTTTTTCTTTTCTTTAAAAAAAAAAATTCAAATACAGCCCAGA